TTAAAGTCGTCTTAAACCAAGTCTCTGCTTAGTGTCAGCTGACTTTTCAAAGAGGCAGGGCCTAGACGCCGGAGCAGGGCTGGGAAGCAGCTGCGGCCTGGTGTCCCCAGGTCCCAGCTTCAGCTGTTCCGCCAATGGGGGGGGTGGTGGTGGAGGAGAGAGATTAGCAGTCCACTTGGGGTGTGAGGAGGAAAGAAGGAAAAAGCAGAGAGGATGAGTCAGGCTGGGCTATGGGCCACCCTGCATGCGAGCAAGCAGAGAGGGAACCCTCCCTGCAAAGCCACAGGACAACGCGAGGCACTGCAAGGGGGCTGCAGCTCTAAAGCTCTCCCCAGAGTTCCTCCTCCGGGCTGGTCTTCTGTGAAGGGGTTTTGAACTCCACAGGAATTTTGCTGCGCACGACTAAGTCTCCTGGCCTTGGCTTCTCCTTCTGTTAATGAGAGGCTCAGGCTCACTTGGAACTTCTCAATCTGGAGGCCCCAGCCATAGGGGCCCTAGAAGGCCACACTGGAGGTCCTAAATATTTCCAACGACCTATTAAATTTTTTTAAAAATCAAACCAGAAACAGTCGAATCCCTAAATCTAACCTCCAATTTACAGGAAATACCAGGGACAGAAAAACATGTTAAATGACACCACAGGGGTGCAATCCACAAACTCTTAATTGCACAAAACTCTCTGGGACAAGGGACTCGGTGTCTTCAACAAATAAATGGCAAGGAAAGAAAAGAGAAAAACCTGTAGAATTTAGAAGTCTTAAGAGACATATCAACCAATAGCCATGCACAGAGGCACCTTGTTTGCATTTTGACAAGAACAGACTATGAAAACAATTCATGAAATGACTGGGGAAATTTCAACAGTGGTGGAACATTTGGTGATCTTAAAGGGCGAGCTGTGAATGCTGGTTTTGGGATGCTAACAGGATTATCGTTATTTTTTAAAGCATCCTTATTTTTCAGAGGTATTTGTTCAAATATTTATAGATGAAATAACATGATGCCTGGGATTTGCTTCTAAATAACCTGGAATGAGAATGCGGAAGATGTTGGGTGTAGATGGAAAAAGTCTGGCCATGACTGACAAGTCATGGAAGCTGGCATTGGGTCTATGGTAGTGGATTACAGTACTCTGTCCCTAAAACAAACCTCCCCTCATCAGTCAGATGATGCACAGGCTCACAAATACTTTGTGCTCCTTTCTCTCCTGTAAAATGGGAGGGAGCAAATGAGATTTTGCATGTGGAGAGCTTGGCCCAGTGTCTGACTGTCAGAAGATGGTAGTGACTATTATGACCAGTGGCAGCAATACCAGAAGAATGCAGAGTAGGGTCTTATTCATATAAAACAACTATCCTTATTTGGGCATTTGTAGAAAGATGAGTGGGGTGAAATACTACAGAGATAACAGAGATAACCCCGCAGGGAGTCATTCATTCATTCAACAAACACAGCTGAGTTCCTTCCATGGGCCAGGCACAGTGGGACTGGGGGCACTGGTGGAGCTCAGGCCCTGCTCCCCTGGGGAGAGGAAGGCAGGCATGTGGAGAAAGGGTGCGGGGGAAACCAGGGGTCAAGACTTCGAGGCAGTGCAGGGAGATGTCCAGACCAGATCTGAAGGATCCAGGGGCATTAGCCAGGCTGGATTTAGGGAGGCAGGGCAGAGAGCACGGAGAGAAAAAAAGGACAAAGCATTCCAAGCTGTTAAGGGAAGAGCAAGTGCAAAGGCCCTGGGGCAAGAAGGAAAAATTCCAGGGTTGGAAGGATGGCAGAATCCAGAGCAGGACACGGGGGCGGGGGGGGGGGTGAGGGCTGCAGGGGCAGGAGGTTTCTTTCCTTTTTATTTCATATCTTCTGAATTATGTAAATATTTTATGGAAGCATGTATCCTTCTTACAGTTTTTTAAAAGGTAAACACACACACACACACACACATACTAAACACCTTACAAAGTCCTAAGAAGCAAAGAAATTATTATAGCATTTTCTCCACTCTTTTCTTCTCAAGAGTCTACAATATGTTTAATTTTTTTTCATGTTTGCTAAAAAACAAAAGAAAACCAAAACAAACCCTACCTTATTTAAATGTGACAAGCACAGTACCCTCTCCCATCTGGCTCCCTACAAGGGCCTCCCTGCCCTTACCTCCTTTCCCTTTTGGGGGGCGTCAGACACGGAAATGATCATTGCACCTAATTTAAACAACGCTCTTTCCAACCCTCATGGAGGTTCTGGTCCTCAAACAAGTAGCTGTTTTTTTCACACTTGTCAGAGGTTTATTTTTTAAAAAGGAGGAAGGTCCTGCAGGTGAGGAGAGAAGGTAAAGGGGGAAAACTGAAAACTGGACAGGCGCAAGTGTAAACCAACCCAAAACACAAATGCGGGGGGTGGAAGGGCGGAGGGGTGGGAGGGAGGGAATTCTGATGCAATTATACAGGTGGGGTCCTTAAAAAAAAACCAGCAACAAAAATCTCAATCTTGTAGCTTTGGTCTGAGTTCATTTATATAAAAATTAAGAACCATATAAGGTTTCTTCACTAAATTCTACTCAAACAAGTTTCTGAGTGACAGTTTGAGCTCGGGGGAAAGACCCACACGGAAGGTTTGGGAAAAGCTTCTCATTTTCCCAACTGACGGCAGCCTGAAGGCACTTTTGGGAGCCCCCCTCTTCCCATCTCTGTGCTGAGCCCAGCTGGCCAGCAGGAAGAAAGAACTTGGTACCCAGACTGCCCTGCAAAGTGGCATCTGCCAGCTTCTTCTGCAATCTGTTGCTAGAGATGGAAACTGTTTTTCTGGTTTCCTCTCAGGCCGGGCGCTGGGACAGTCAGCTTTGATGTGGAGGTGGCGCGGGCGGGCAGGCCAGCTACCTGAGCGGAGGTGGATACCTCAAGGCAGAGCTGCAGCTGCCTGGAAGGAGGGCCGACGCCTCCTCCATGGTCTGCACAGTGGGAACCCCAGGAGGCCCTTTCAAGTCTGCACCTTGTGGTTTCTCTCTGCAGGAATGCCAGCTTTATTATGGGTTTGTTCCCTTCATTGTTTTGATCCTCTCCTTGGGCCCCCACCCAGATCAGGACCTTTCATTTCATGTCAGGTCTAGTGAGGCCATGGCTCCTGGACGAGCACAGCACCATGAGATACAGAAGGGTCTGCCCTCGTGAGAAACAGAGACAAGTGGACAGATGGTTCTAGTCCCAGGAGAGAGGCACCTCCCAGCAGAAAAGCCTCAATGGTGACATTGACTTGGCCTCTCCCTTCAAAGGCCTTTTATTTGCTTGTGTCTTATTGAGAACCCACCTGCAGCAATGCCTTCATCTGAAAGGTGAGAAAACCGAGGCTGGAAGGTAATTCCATCACCAAAGAAGCCCCCACAAAATTCTGACACATTCCCAGCCAGACCTCAGTGGTGCCTCATAACCTAGCGCTAAGAGGTCCACTGGAGTCCAGATGCACCTTCCAGCTCTGTCACTTACCCCAGTGCAATCCTGCACAAACTGCTCAACGTCTCCAAGCCCCAGTTTCTTCACCTGTAAAAAACGGGATCATCAGTTTTACTGCTTAGACTTGTTGACTTAAGTTCATCTGCCAGTTTAATCATTTAAGTGTTCACCTATTTCTTTGCAAATCCCCCCTCCCCCTAGGCTGTAAGTTCCCTAAGGGCAAGGACTCTGCAGGCCTTGTTCACAGACGCGTCCTCAGTAGACAACTGCCTAGGGCAGGGTAGGCAGTGACGAAGTACTTGTGATGATAATAAGGAAGCCCTCAGCACAGCACTTGGCACAGGCAGTCGTTATTATCGGTAGCAACAGAGGGGGTTCATTATTTATGACGGGAAAGCAGTTTCTGTTTCGAAACTATCCAGTAACCAGGAACTGAGGGAACAAAACAGTTCTCTGGAGTAGGCCTACTGTCAGGTGACTCTGCTGACACCTTGCTCCAGTGCCTCTGCCCACTGTCCTCTCTCTCTCAAGGCCACTGTCCCCCAGACCCAGGACTCCTTCCCTGAGGCTCCAGAATCCCTATCTTCTGCCCTGGAAGAGAACAGAGGGAAAGGCTCAGCTCACCAAATCTGCAAGGGAAGGATGTGGTCCAGCAACCTTAAAATACTGGATGTTCAGTTAAATTTGAATTTCAGATTAGCAATGAAATAATTTTTCAGTAAAAGTAAATCCCAAAGGTCACATGGAACCTAGTTATCCTTAAAAAAAGTATTCACTATTTATCTGAAATTCAATTTTAACTGAGTGTCGGGTATTTTAATTTGCTTAATCTGGCAGGCCAACAAAGTGACGGGGCTGGGATGTTAACCCAGGCCTGCCTGAGCTTGTGGACCTCACTTTCTCCTCTCCTGAAAAATCACCGTCATCATATTAGGAGATTCTTGGAGTGGTTATGAGAATTAAAAGAGAGAGGCTGAGTGAAATGGGCTTTTAAGCCCTCAACTAACTAGTTCATAAGTGTTCATAAGAGCAGGAATTTTGTCTGCCTTGATGCTCAGCTGAACCCAGTGCCTAGAACTGTATCTGGCACACAGCTGGACAGACATAACTAGTTCCCTCAGTGAAAAACCGCTAGTACTATTTTGCCTAAATAGCCAAAAAATAAAAATAAAACAAAGTAAAAAAAAATTTAAGCGACATGATAGCATTTCAAATTCCCAAATCTAGGTCCCACATCCCAAGCATACCCTGCTAGTCCCTGATGCTGGTCCCCGTTGCTTGCCAGGCGCGATCCAGACAGCAGCCCATCACTTTGCCTCCTACTTGGGATTGCATTTGAGAGCCCTGCGCATGCGCACCTCACTCAATAGAGGCGCTATGCGCCTGCGTCGCTCCAGCCCAGCCTCCAGGGGCGAGGAGTGCGCACGCGCAGCCCGCCCCCTCCAGAAAACGCGGGAAAAGCGCTCCCCCACCCCAACCCGGCCAGAAGTGCTTGTGGCCTCAGGGAAGAGCGATTTCGGGCAGAACCAGAGTTCCTGCCCCCGAAGATTTTCGTTGCTGTAGGTCCTCATGGCCTTTGCGCCCAGCGGTCCTGAGGCCTCGTTCTTCGAGGTTTTGGACCAGCACAGGGCTTCCCTGCTGGCCACGCTGAGGAGAGGTGGCGGGGAGCCCGCGGGCGGGGGGACACGCCTGGCCTCGAGGTATAAGGGCTTCTCTGGGGCGCACACGCCCGGGAGTTGGAAAGCGAGGACGTTCCTGGGCCAGGCCGGGCTTGAGGTGCTCTGTGGGGCAATGCTGGGCGCTCTGCCCGGCTCCCGGCGTCCAGGCCGCGGG